ATTCAACATTTAGTAATGTATAAAGGAATCCTTAATTGTATCTATGAACTTACTTCAGCTTTCCTTTGCTTTAGAGACCTACAAAGGTCATAAATGCGAGGATTGGTCACAAAGTTACTTTTTATCACTATTGTAACTACAGTCAGTAAATGAGGGCTATCTGTAAATGAAATTTCCTTCAAATATTCTCCAGCAATATCTGGCAGATCCATTACATCCAATGTAGTCTAACCGGTTAAGTGATGTGCCAGTGCCTGGAGGCTGTCAGGGTCTGGATGGGAGCAAACAAGCTTGCACTCAATCCCGACAAGACTGAGTGGCTATTGATGCTCCCTCCCAAGGATGGTCCAGCTATTCCACCTCTTAGCCTGGGGGGTGAAATCTTACACCCCTCAGAGAGGGTCCGCAACGTGGGTGTCCTCCTGGATTCTAATTACTAATTACTCTGGTCTTGCTGGCCCCCTTCAGGCAGGGGAGACGGGCACCAGCCTTAACGTCAGCTACGAGGAGGGGCAAGTAAGCCCCCACCCCACCCCGAGCGTCTCCTTTATTTCTACTCCACCTTAACTCCCCCTTGTAGCTGGGAGCGGCCGCATGTGATGTACGGACAGCTGCTGGACTGGCTGCGCTACCTGGTGGCCTGGCAGCCGGTCATCATCGGACTGGTGCAAGGGATTAACTATATTTTGGGGCTGGAGTAGCCCCCCCCCATTCCTGCCCCGGAGCCCGGACTCCCCTGGGGAGCCAAGGAGGCCTTGGGAGACCCCCGGGAGCAGCCTTCTCGGCCACTTGACCTCTCAGGATTATGGCCTCCGGCCCAGAGCTGCTGCTCCACAGCCCCAGACGGACTCTGCACACGAGGAGCCCCACCCACCCACCCCCAAGGCCGGCTTCTGCTGCTTGTAGGATGGGGGGGTCTCTTTCTCCTTCCTTTTTTTAGCCAGAAAGAAAAGAATTATTTTAACAGCCTCTGGAAAAATCTTTTTATTCCTGATGCAAAAGGAAATGGATGCCCCCCTCCCCACTGACGGCCCCCTGGTCTCACCCCTTTGGGCCAGGCCTGGAGGCCACCGGCCCCTTCCCCTCGGCCGCTTCTGGCGGGGGTCGAGCTGGGCAGCCCCCGCGCCCTGTTCCCCAGCCCCATCCTCTGACGCCAACCCAGAGGGTCCTCTCGGCCACGTTGACCGAACCCCAAGTCTGGATTCCCTCCGTTTCTCCTGCCCCCGATGGGCCTTTGGCAGGAGGGGTCCCACCCTGGATTTTGGGGGAGAAGCCCCTCCGCCTCCCTCCCTCTCCTCTTCAGACGTCGCTTGCCGATGGTTCCCAGTCAATGCCGGAACTTTCCTTGCCTGCCCAGTTCGGCCGGCCAGGCTTCGGAAGGAGCAGCTGAGAAATGTGGGGCAGCCGTCGTCTTTCTTCAACCTGCCAGATTGAGGGGTTCAGGGGCGCATCGGCTCCTCTCCCTCCGCTTCGCCTGGGAGGAAGCAGCACTGCCACGCTCATCCCAACGTCGCTGAGAAGTCCTGTTGAGAACCTGTGGATTGCTGGGTGGCCTCCCATCCTCACCCCTGTCTAGTTATTGTTAGGGTTTGGCATGCAGCGTTCGGTTCAATGCGGGGAAGGAGGGTGAGGCCGGGGGGCTGCTTTGGCACCTTTCAACCCCAGGGGATGGGTGGAAACTGCTAGGGTGGCACTTGACGCAGGGGGAGAGCAGGTCGCTCCCATCGCCTGGGACCCCTGCCCAGCCTTCCTCGCACCTGGGTCTGGATCGGGGAGGGGGGCAATGCGTAGGGCTCCTCTCCCCTAGCCCCAGGTGAGGGGAGGCGAGGTGCCAAGTCGGGCCAGACCCCCCTTGCCAGGGGGGTGGCCTCATCCTGTGGAGGGCAGGATCCAGGGTCTCCACCCCCCCCCCTCCTCTACAAGGGCCAAAGCACCAGGTTCCTCTCAAAGGGAGGGGGGCTCTGGCTTCCCTCCACAGGGCACGGGCTGTGTCTCTGCCACTGGGTGGGTCTCGCTTGGGGGCATCAGCCCGTAGGGGGTCCTTGGCAGCTGCTCACAGCCTCCCCCCCCCCATCCCAACGAGATGTGGATGACCAGAACACTCACGCACACACGCAGGTGTCTGTGGAAGCATCGAAGGCAGCCTGGCCCCCCCCTGTGCAACGGCTGCCAACGGGGGACTCACCTGTGGAGAAACCCTTAGAAACCTCAGAGCGTGGATAGATTTTTTTCTCCCCCCCCTCCCCACTTTTAAAAAAACGTGTAATAAATTCTGCTAAATTGCTTTTCCTGTTGTTTTTGCCACAGCCCGGGGGTCATTGTTGCTTTGGAAAATTGTGCTTCTTTATTCAATTTCTCTCCCCCCCCCAACCTCTGCTAAGGGTTAGGAAAACGAAAGGAGGAGAGGCAGGGAATTAGTCTTGGGGGGGCAAAACAAATGTGGAAATCCGTTTGGGAGGATTTCAGAAAAGTTTTGAGGTCTTTATAGGCCTCGGTTGGAGGGAGCTGGTGAGGTCTTTGGATGGGGATTTCTGCAAAGAGGCTTAAATAGAGTTGGAATCAAATGTTTCTCAATGCACAGCTGGCTGGGGAATTCTGGGAGTCGAAGTCCGCGTGTCTTCTTAAAAGTTGTCGACCTTGAGAAAACACGAGTTGAATCCCTCTTGGCAGACTTTGCAGAGAAGTTTTCCTCTTTTGCCGGCTCCCAAAGCAAAGTTTATTGAGTTTAAATTCCTCTTTATTTGAGGCAGTCGCTGATCATTTCCATCACTCAAAATAGCCCTCCGCTTCTATAAACAGGAGATGAGGCCGACCAGTTTGGGGCAGGAACTCAAGGATGAAGGCAACAAATGCAAGGTCTTGGGGTGCTTTGTGAATGGCCCCCTTGGTGGGAGTGGGGGGAGACCGAGAGGCGAACATAGGGGAGAAAGAGGGGAGACCCAAAGGATGGAGAGCTTGGGGGTGGGGTGGGGGCAACCTTGATTCCCAGATCTTTTTGCCAACAAAACAAGGCAATAAACACGGAAATTAAAATTGTCCCTGTGCTTCAACAATCCTCTAGACCAGTGTTTCTCAACCTTGGCCACTTGAAGATGGGGAAGTGTCTAGGACAGTGTTTCTCAACCTTGNTTCTTTCCTTCCTCCTCCTTTCCTTCCTTCCTTCCTTCCTTCTTCCTTCCTTCCTTTCTCCTTTCTTCCTTCCTTCTTTTTTCTTCCTTCCTTCCTTTCTTTCCTTCCTCCTTCCTTCTTTCCCTTTCCTTCCTTCCTTCCTTCTTTCTCCTTCCTTCCTTCCTTCCTTCTTTCTCCTTCCTTCCTTCCTTCCTTCCTTCCCTCTTTCTCTCTCTGTCTCTCTCTCTCTAAACTGTCCTTCTCCTTCAAAGAGGGACTCTGGGTAGTATGCAATATAATCAAGATATGAAGTATAAAATTAACACAATTAATTTCAGATTTTTTTAAAAATGAAAATGAAGTTTCATTGTCCAGTCACACCCCCTCTTCCCCTTGTGTGGTTCTGCCTCCCTCTCTGGGGTCTTGAGAGGCCGTTGAGTGTGAGCTCCGCAGCCAGGCGGACAGGGGGGGGCCGGTCGCATGGGGGGGGCTGGTGAGTTGGCTGGGGCGGCTGCTGTGCGAGAGGCTGACCTGCCTGCCTGCCTGCCTGGCTCTCGTTCCAGGATCGAGCATGCCCGGATGCACGCCAAGCACCGGGGCCACGAGGCCATGCACGCCGAGATGGTCCTCATCCTGATCGCCACGTTGGTGGTCGCCCAGCTGCTCCTGGTCCAGTGGAAACAGAGGCACCCTCGCTCCTACAACGTAAGCCAGCTCCTCCCGGGGCCCAAGAAGGGGGACTCTCTGGGCTCCTCCGGGGTCTCTCAACCGGCTGCTTTCCTTGCAGACCTTTCCCCACCCAACTAGGGAACATCGTCAGTGCTGGCGGGAAGTGGGGTTTGTGGAGGAGGAGGAGGACTGTGGGGTCCTTGGTGCTCTCTGCAAGCAGGTTATCTGAACATACACCAAGAGCAAATGCCCCCCTTCCTTCTAGCACTGATGATGTTCCCTAGTTGGGTCCTGAAATGTCTGCAAGAAAGCCCTTAAAAGAGCACCAAGGACCTCCCCCCCCCTTCCTCCTCCTCCTCCTCCTCTAGCACTGATGATGTTATCTACTCTGCAAGAAGACCACCAACTTCAGAGAGCACACAAGGCCCCCTCAATCTTCCCCCTCCTCCCCACAAACCCCTCTCCCTTCTAGCACTGACGGTGTTCCCTAGTTGGGTCCTGAAACGTCTGCCAGGAAAATCACCGCACTCAGCCAGGAGCTCCCAGTTCAATCCTGAGCTGTAAATATTCTCCGTCAGGTAATGAGGAATTAATAGCTGCCAACTGGTGTAAGGTTGTAAGCTGTAAGCTGGGGCAGTGAGGATGAACAGTAAGCCTTACAAGCGGTTGGATGCTGGGCTCCTTTGCTAGGGTTCCTCCAGGATCGCCTGAAGGAAGGGACAGGCCTTGAGATGCAGTTCCCCCCGGGGAGATTCCAAGCTGCCCCTCCCCTAACCCCCACCCCCCTTTCTCATTGCAGATGGTGACCCTCTTCCAGATGTGGGTGGTCCCCCTCTACTTCACTGTCAAGCTGCACTGGTGGCGATTCCTGGGCATCTGGGTTTTCTTCTCGGCCGTCACGGCCTTCGTTACCTTCCGAGCCACTCGGAAGCCCCTCGTCCAGACCACCCCCAGGTGAGCCGGAGGGAAGTGGGCTCCTTGGGGAGGGCAGAGGCCTCGGGAGGCTGGTGGGGTGGCAGGGGGTCTTCTGCCAACGGGGCCAGTGGCACCTCAGCCCTTTTCCTCTCTCGGCTGGGCCCAGTTCGGTGTTTTTTAACTCCGCTTCCGCTAATATCTCAGCAGCAGGTCCATTGTGGTCGTAAGTGGAGGACCACCTGGACGCTTATTTCATCAGATTTGAAGATCCTGAACTTTACACTCTTGAGGGTTGGTTTTGAAGGCCTCTCTCCAACTGCAGCCTTTGCTGAAAAACGGCAGTTTCCAGCTGGATTTATTTTGTTTCAGCCGGCCAATGACAGATGACTATTCCTTTTCACGGGGTACTTACTGTATTTTTTGGAATATAAATCACACCTTTTTCCCACAAAAAAGAGGGTGAAAATCTGGGCCGTCTTATACACCGAATACAGCATTTTTGGCCTCTCAAAACCTTGTGCATCTCGTTTTTGCAAAAAATGGGCCCATTTTTAGCCTCCCAACCCCCCCACGGGTCACATTTTTGCCCTCCCCGGCCCCCAGCAGCACTTTGTGTATTTGTGTATTTTTTATTATTTGTGTATTTATTAGACATTTATAGGCCGCCCTTTTCCCTGAGGGGACTCAGGGCGGCTTACAGTCAAAAAGGAAAGGGAGTGTAGGACAATACAAAAAGAAATGTGCACAAAAGTAAATTAAATAGTAAAACTCAACATTCACTCAACATTCGGGAGGGGCAAAAGTAAAGTCTTATCCCCAGGCCTGACGGGCTAGCCAGTTCTTGAGGGCTGTGCGGAAGGCCTGGACGGTGGTGAGGGTACGAATCTCCACGGGGAGATTGTTCCATAGTGTCGGAGCCGCAACAGAGAAGGCCTTTGCAGGCCTTTCACAAAAAAACAGGGCCTGCAGAGGGTTTGGGAGGCCTGCAGAGACTCCTGGGGGGCTGGGGAAGGCAAAAACCTTTAAAAAGAAATTTACCTCTTCAAAATCTTGGTGCGTCTTATACTCCAGCGCGTCTTATAGTCCAAAGAATATGGTATGTAGCTTTTTTTGGGGGGGGGGTGTATAATGCCATGGATTTGTTTCAAAGAGGAAAGCCGAAAGAGGCCCGATGGAGAGCTGTGGGCCTGGCACATTTTCCCTTCTGCTCCCTCCATCCAGGTTGGTCTACAAGTGGTTCCTCCTCATCTACAAGATCAGCTACGCCATAGGCATCGTGGGCTACATGGCCGTCATGTTCACCCTCTTCGGCCTTAATTTATTATTCAGGTGAGAAGAAAAATCCACACACAAACACACACACCCTCCCTCCCTCCCTCACACAGAGACTTCAAATGCGGTGTGGGAGGAGGAGGACTGGGGGGGTCCTTGGTGGTCTCACACGTGGATTGTTTCCTTGCAGACGTTTCATTACCAAACCAGGGAACCTCATCAGTGCTAGAAGGGGAGGGGGTTTGTGAAGAGGAGGAAGGGGGTTGGGGGGGGGCTTTGATGTTCTCTGAGCCTGGTTGTTTTCCTGCAGATGTTTTGTTACCCAAATAGGTAACATCATCAGTTCTACCACTAGTTTAATAACGGCAACTTGCACCATGGGGAACTGGGGGACGTCTAGAGGACCTCTGGGCCCCAAAGGGCTGCTCAGGCCCAGCGGGACTTCTTGTAGCGGAATAGCTGGAGCCCCAGGCAGGGCTTCTTAAGAGTCCTGGGTTCGACGCCTCCCTAACGCCAGTTTGAAAGCTGCGCTCCCAGCTCAGATGTTGAGGCCTTGGGGTGGGAGGGGTCCTCTCAGCAGCCGCCACAGAGGTTTCTAAAGTCTCTCCCCCCCCCCCCCCCCCCAATGTCAGAATTAAACCGGAAGACGGCATGGACTTTGGGATCTCCCTGCTGTTCTACGGCCTCTACTACGGAGTCCTGGAACGGGACTTTGCGGAGATGTGTGCGGATTACATGGCCTCCACCATCGGGGTAAGAGCCTCAAAGGGGGAGGAAGAGGGAGGGGTGGGGAGGAGGCTTCCATGTCCCTTGAGACCCCCCTCCCCTCCCCTCCCCCCCAGCCAGAGCTCTCCTGCTGCCCCCTCCCCCTCCTTGGTCCTTTTTGCCCCATCCTGCCCCCACTCCAGAGGTGCCTGGCCTGGGAATCTCCTCCTCCGCCAGCTGTTCCCTTGAGGGTGGACCAACCACACAGTTTCAACCCCTTTAAGCCCTTTAAGACTTCAACTCCCAGAATCCCCCAGCCAGCTATGAGGAAGGAAGGAAGGAAGGAAGGAAGGAAGGAAGGAAGGAAGGAAGGAAGGAAGGAAGGAAGGAAAGGAGAGATGAAGAAGGAAGGAAGAAGGGAAGAAAGAGAGGGAGTGTCAAGCTGACAGGGAGGAGGATGAAAGGGGGGGAATGGGAAAAGGGAGGGAAGGAAGGAGAGAAAGGGAGGAAGGACTGATAGGGAGAAGAGGAGGAAGGGAAGGAAGAAAAAAAGGAAAGAAGAAAGAAAGGAGGAGAAGGAGAAAGGAAGGAAGGCTGCTGGCTGAGGAATTTGGGAGTTGTGGTCCAGCTGACCTTAAGTGGCTGAGGCTGCTGATCTAAGGAGCGCAGAGGGACTTTGGCCACTAGGTGGCGCTCTCGCTATTCCTCCTTTCCCGTGTGGGTGGGGCAGGGTCCCTGCTGGGCATTTGGGGGCAAGGCCTGGAGGAGCCTGACATTGGCCTTGGCATGGGGGGGGGGCTGAAAGGGGTGGCTCCTGGGCCCCCTTTGGTCCCTTGGGGAAGGGGTGGGTGGGGCACCCCCAGGAGCCCCCCCCCATATCAGCCTCCCTCCCCCCGCGGCAGTTCTACAGCGCCTGCGGGATGCCCACCAAGCACCTCTCGGAGAGCGTCTGTGCCGTCTGCGGGCAGCCGATCTTCGTGGACGTCAACGAGGAAGGGATCATCGAGAACACCTACCGGCTCTCCTGCAACCACGTGTATCCTTCCACGGGGCACACACGCTTGGCTACTGACTCACACTTACGACGGTCGCTGGCTCCGGGGGTGGGTGGGGGGCCTGGAGGGGCTGCGGTTATCTTCATACACCCTCCCCCCCCCAAGCACACGCACACACAGGCATCCACGTGGCCAAAATGAGACGCTTGGCTACTGACTCACACTTACGACGGTCGCAGGGTCCTTGGAATCACGTCATCCCCTTTGGCGACATTCTGACCAGCAAAGGGTCACTAAATGAACTGTCATAAGTCGAGGACTCCCCGTAATGTCCCTGTCCGTCCTCTCGGCTGGGGCTCCCCGGTTTGGGGTCTTTCCCACCCAGATGCCTGGAGAGTATGGGACTTGTAGTCCTCCAGCCTGACCTCTGAGGGGGTTGGGAGCAGGGGAGGCTGCTGGGCCCTCCGCCCGAGGGTCACCCCAGCCCTGGAAGCCCCCCCCCCCTCCCGACTGCCGGGGGTCAGCCTGGCCCCTGGGAGTTCGCAGGCCAGCTGCCCTGCCCAGGGAGGGGCACATGGGAAGGGGAGGCCCAGCCTGGATTCCTGTCCTCCCCCAGGGCTGCCCTCCTGCCCTGGGACCCATGGGCCTCTGCGGAGCAGTGGGGGCCCGGGTGGAGGCGGGAGCCAGTGCAGCTCACTTGCAGGGCGCCTCCTCTCCAGCCTCCTCCTCCTCCTCCTCCTCTTCTGGGGGCCAAATCTATAAGCCCCCCCCTTCCTCTGAGAGCCTGAGCTGGAGGGGGGCCCCGTTTGGGTCTGGCTGGAACTGGTCCTCCCAGTCAGGAGGCCTCCATTGGGGGGGGGGGGCATGTTGTAGTAGTTTGCTTCATTGGTCGTGATGGGGGTCCTTGGGGGGGGTCTCTGGGCTTAGTTGTTTCCGGACACACGTTTCATGGCCCAACTAGGCAACTTCATCAGTGCTAACAGTGAGGATCAGCCAATGCAGCCAAGTCCAGATTCCTCTGAGAGCCTGAGCTGGAGGGGGGCCCCGTTTGGGTCTGGCTGGAACTGGTCCTCCACCCACGCCTCCCTCCATGGGGGGGGGGGGGCATGTTGTAGTAGTTTGCTTCATTGGTCGTGATGGGGGTCCTTGGGGGGGGTCTCTGGGCTTAGTTGTTTCCGGACAGACGTTTCATGGCCCAACTAGGCAACTTCATCAGTGCTAACAGTGAGGATCAGCCAATGCAGCCAAGTCCAGATTGCACCAAAGACCCCGTAGTCCCNGCCTGCAGTACTGCACCCTAACCACTGTGCCACCTCGGCTCTTGAAAGAATTCACTGCCCCCCTTTCAGTCCAGCCTCTCTTTCTGTCACACCTGTACCTGCCAGGGGTGTGCTGCTGTTGGCTGTCACAAATTGGGGAGGGGGGGAGAGGAAGCCCTGGCAGGCCGAAGGATTTTGCCCCCGTGATCCTCAAGGCGGAGGGTGCAGTAGGGAGACGTGTTGGTTTCAAAGATGCCCTTGTGCTAAAAAGGAGCCCATTGATCCCAGATGTGAACCCTTGGCCCTCTTCAGTGTGAGGGAGGCGAAAGGCCACTCCGTCCCTCATCCTGGACCTCTGCCTGCTGACCCCCTGCTCCGTGTCTCATGGGGAGGTTAGGATAGCTGCCCACTTCCCCACCACCACCCGCCCTTCAGAAGAGGGGAGCGTCTCTGGCCTTCCAGCGAAACGCTGAGCAGTCGCCTTCCGAGGAGGAGGAGGAGGTGGCCTTCCCAGTGGTGGCTTTCCTTGGGCCTGCTGTCCAGGCGCAGGAGAGGGGCCTCAGCTGCTCAGTGGTCCCTGCGGAGGCCAGGAGTTGTGCCACCTCACAATGCGGGTGGAATGCCGCCCTTGGGGAGTTCTGGCATCCGAAGGGATTTGACGGTTGCCCAGCATTTCGCTCAGAGGGAGCCACAGGAGGCGCCCTGGGCCGCTCTAATGGCTGCCCTGCAGGTGAGCGAGGTGGTGGGGGGGCAGGTACACAGCTATCCTAAAATCCACCCCCCCTCCCGCCCCAGGGGAGGTTCTGGGCACCTCTTGTTCTGTGAATATAACCCTGGCGGTTGTTTCTGGATGCTGGCAGAGCCAAAGGGGGCTCTGGGGGGCTGAGAGAGCAGGGCCTCCTCCCTCCCTTGGGTGCTCACTCTCTCTCTCTCCTTCTCTGCAGGTTGACCTGTCGCACCTGGATCCGGACGAGAGATGGAGGTGAGTGCAAGGCTGGCTGGTTCCCTCCAGGACGCCTGTCTGGCTGGGCAGCAGCCGCCCCCTGCGGGGAAACGTCTGAGTGAGCTCATCTTGCAAGACCCCCCTCCAGCACACTGCTGATCTCTCTCTCTCTCTAGTTACGGGGTTGGGATAGATGGCCTTGTGGGTGCCCCCACCCTGTACTGGGGCTGCGCTATTCAGCCTGTGGATTCTCAGGGATTGGAAGGGCTGCCTTTCCTTCCCTCCTTTCTGGGCTTAAGGAAGATTGGCTGATGTTGTTTGCTTCCCAGAGTTCGTTCCTTCTATCCTTCCTTCTTTCCTCTTTTCTTCTTTCCTTCCTCCTTCCCTTTTTCCTTCCTTCCTCCTTCCCTCTTTTCTTCTTTCTCTTTCCTTCCTTCCTTCTTTCCTTCCTTCCTCCTTCCTTCCTTCTTTCCTTCCTCCTTCTTTCCTTCCTTTCTTCCTTCCTTCCTTCCTTCTTTCCTTCCTCCTNAGTCTAGGGAACTCAACCGCTAGCTCGGCTACTGACTCGAGGAGCGAGGGGAGGGCTGCTGCAACGTAGTTGGGAGGCAGGTACGTAAGCAGCAAACCCACTTGACCCTTGAGGTCCAACTTCACTAGCATGGTGTGTGTGTGTGTGTGTGTGTGTAAGAGAGGGGTGAGAGGTTTGGTGAATGGTCACCATTATAAAGGAAAAAGTAAAATAAAAAGAGGCATACAAATATGGTCTATTTAAACAGAATGTAATAAATGATACACAGTTAAAACCATTTTAAAAACTTGGGGATTGTTATAAAATGGACAATGTAACAACACTTGAAGGATGGATTCAACTGAATTGTCACCATAAAAGCAGATTCATCTAGCTATAGAAACCTTATTACATTTCCCAAATGAAAGTATTGAGGGAAGCCTCAATCTGGCCTTAAATGAATTTGGCCTTAAATGAATCGGGCCTTAAAGTAAATCTTAAAGGAATTGATATAATTAGTTTGATTTTCATCTAGGATATTTAAACTATGGCGATATAGGACTAAGACCTCTTCCATTCTGATAATGTTCAGGAACTGTTATCTAATGATTCACTTAGTGTCCATTAAGACACAATCTTGCAGCCACAAAGATTGAAATTTATCCAATAGTGTGGATGGAATCAATCCAGCTGGTGAAATAATAGTAGCTCTGTTGTATTCGGGCAAGAATTGTACATTGCAATCAACTGTGTGTAGCTTTTTTTAATTTCCAGCATCATATGGAAAGGTGCCACACCAACAGAAGGTTTTTCTGCTGTTCTCTAGCAGCAGCTATGGGAGGAACTCATCTCTTGGCAAGAGATCATGAACATATGCTCCAGAATACATTCTCTATTAACAGAACATAAAAATGTGTCATGTTTAGTCAGCCCCTGTCATATTTTTTGAATATATATGAGAATCTCAATTGACTTGAAATCCCATATGCATACTTGAGCATGAAACGGGCTAAGCAAGCACTGTTCAAAACCCATACATTAATAGGAAGTACCGACAGTTTCTTTAATTATTGAATGCATCCATCAGCCTTTTTTCAAGGTTCTGATATTCCCAAGGCAGCTTACAATACTGACGGAGGAAGAAAAAAAGTTGGTATCAAATTAAAAAAGCATTTTAACCTCTTTCCTCAATGGTGCAACTGAAGCTGGAGGAGAATGGGAGTCAGCAGGGTCACATCTGCATGTTGGTAGCGTTGTGGAAATGTGAGTGGGAGGCATTTATTTGTGGGTCTGCAGTTAATCAAGAAACTATTTAAAAATTTGCTTTACAATAATGCAAATCGAAGAGGAGGCATGCTGCCTCAATATTCCAGCTGCTGTTGCTCCTGCCTTCTGGAACATCTTGCCCTCTCAATGTGAAGTTGACCCCAATCCTCCTATCTTTTCATAAGGGCCTAAAGATGTGGCTGTGGCAGGTGGCTTGGGGCCCAATTGGGGGAACTGTACAATAGAGTTGAATGATTGATTGATTGATTGATTGATTGACTAATAACAGATGGAGGTGATTCAGAGGTGGATTGCTCCTGGTTTGCCCTGTATCGGGTGAACTGGTAGTAGTGGAGGCAGGAGGCTCTGCCCACCCTCCTCGACGCTTCTGCACATGCACAGAAGTGTCACGCGCGAGCGAAACCAAACTGGTAGTAAAAAAATTGGCAATCCACCACTGAGGTGATTGATTGACTAATAACAGATCCCATCTTTTCCCCACCACTCCACCCCCATCCTCCCCCTGTATCATTAGTTTTAAGGTTTGATTTTAACATTTTTGTTTTAACTAAGGTGTTACTTTATAACCCATTACATTTTATGAAGAACAAATTGTAGTTTGTAGCAAATGCAACTCTTTTTGAAAGAAATACCATTTTTTTAAAAAAGCCCTGTTTAAAGCCCTGTTTAAACCAGCCACAAACATGAAGAACAACCAAGGCCTTGGAGAACAGCTAGGTTTTTAGTGATTTCTTGGATGTACTTAGAGTGGAAGCTGGTTAAATCTCTGGGATGAGATCATTACAGATGGCAGACATTACAACAGAGAAAGTGTGCTTCCTGGATCCTGCAAGATGACATTGTTTAATAAATGGGATCTGGAGTACACTCATCCTACTTGATCATACTGGATGGGCAGAAACATCGAGATAAGAAGTCTTTCAGATTCATCAGGCCATATTCAGTGAAGTCCTCCAAAGGTAATAACCAGCAGCTTGAATTGCACTTGGAAGCCAATAGGTAACCTCTGCAGTTCATAAAGCAGTTGGGACACATGACCAAAATGCAATACCCCCATTGCTGTCAGTGCAATTCAGGGGTGGGCTGCTATGGTAAAGTTAATTTACTTTACTTCACCCGGGTTTGGGAGAACCTGTAGCTAATGTTATGGCCGGTTCGCAGAACCTCCAAATCCCTTGGCTAGTATCATCATGATCCTGGAAAGATGTTGGAATTTTTTTTTTTCAAAATGGTTTTTCATAGCCTAGGAATTACTTTATTCAGCGCCAATGCTTTCTGGCTTTACAGTTGCTATCTTTAAAGCAGGCTTCAATGTGGACTGTGTTATCAATTTAGCACAGGTTATTTATGTTTATTCCTCCAATATTAAAACCAAACTAAATATTTTCCAATTCCATTTCTTTCAATATATATCCAATATACAGACTGAATAAATAAGGAGAAAATATTTAGCCTTGTCTGTGTTCTTTGCCAACCTGGAGTCAATTTGTTTCACCATGTTTTATCCTGGGGCTTTCTGACTTGGGTACAGATTTTGCATGGGGACAATGATAAGTTCTGGGATTCTCCTTTTTAAAACTTGACATAGTCATCAAAATCAGAGACATGTTTGTAATCAGCAAAGCACATACTGACAGCTTTTTGGCATTCTTTGGATTCTCCAGCATTCATTGGCAATGATGTCTTATTGTCCCTGGCTTTTCTAAGGCTAGATTGAACAGTTGACAATCTGCTACTGGATGACCCTGAGCAAGAATACTGTACAATAGTCTGTCCCCTTTGTTAAGTCTTCTTTTTTGGCATTAATATGTAGATTGATATCTTTAAATCAGTAGGACCCTGTGTCATTCAGATTTATCTAGATTTCCTGGCATAGTTTAGTTAGAACTGTTATTGATTCTTCCTCTATTGAGTGACATATTTCTCTAGACATTCCAACAATTTTCCTAGACTTCCAATTGAATAATCACCACAATTCAAATCTAACTCCCTCTTCTACTACTAGATGTTTTCTTAAGTATGGAGTATCTTAGATGTTGACAACGTTACTGTATAGAAACTCAGTATATTCCTCCTATCTTTGATTTTCTTGGAATAAATTACTATCTCTCCATTGGCATTCTTTACCATACTAATTTGAGTTGGCATTCTCTTCTGAGTTCAGAGATATGTTAGAAGACTTTGCTTGTTTCTTTGTGTGTTTTTGATTTAAATTCCTTACAGATGTTTTCATAATGCTGCTTCTTGTCTTTTCTAACAGCTTTCCGAAACACTTTGTTAAGTTCTTTTCTTTGTCTTTCATACTTTTGGCTTCTTTATTCTTGGCAATTTCCATCGTTTGTTCTGACTTCAGTTTCCCTTCTGTTTCTTGGTCTTTGGCAGGCTCTTTTCACAGTTACCCTTAACAACTACTTTAAGTTCATTCTACAGTTCATCTGCCTCATGATGCTCCAGAAATTAAATTGATTCTTGATGTTCTCCCAAAAATGATAAATATACATTGTGAATCATATTGTGAAAATAGGTTGGCTTTCTTCTTCCATCTTACCTTATCTTGCAAATGATCAGTTTATAATCTGTTCCACATGGAGGCTCCAGCCCTGTCTTTGCTGTTATGACTGAACTCTTCCATCTCCTACTACTAATAATATAGTCAATTTGATTTTTATCTGATGTCCATATATTTATGGACATCATATATGATGTATATATCATATATGATGTATTATTTACATCATACATCATATATGATACATATATATCATACATCATTTGCATTTTGAAATCTGTTTTAGAAATGGGTTTGGCAATTTCAGTTTCTGAGTCCAAACAGCCAAAATATATATTTTTCTCCTTAATATTTCCAATTTTGGTTTCCAGTCCCCAGTCATAAGCAGTAGATCTTGCTTTCATATTTTGCTAACCTCAAATTGAACTTGACCATAAAACTCATACATACACGCCCACAGACCTTTTGTTCCACTTCAGTGGTTGGAACATAAACTTTGATAATTGCCATATTAAAGGGTTGAACACAAAGTAATTGATGTGATTCAGTCATTAATTGCACTGTACCTAAGTACTATTCTTCATATATGCTTCCTAACAATGGAAGAAACACCATTTCTTCTTTGTTTATTATGTCCTGACTAGAAATGTCTAATTGCAGTCCATTTCAACTCATTGATATATAAAATGTTAACTGATGTAGTGAAATTATGACATCTTTCATCATGATGAGAATTTTTGTGTTCATAATTCTTATATTCCATGTTCCCATTTCAATCTATTCTTTAATGCTTAGATTTTCTTTTCATGCATGGGAACATCAGCAACAAGATATTCCAAAGTTTGTAAGCTAGTCACATTCTAAAGACCATTGCAATTCCAAACGATACCCACATTCCTTATTAGCATGCTGGGTACCATCTGTCCGTCTGTCTGTCTGCCTGCCTGCCTTCCTGTCTGTCTGTCTGTCTGTCTATATCTATCTATCTATCTATCTATCTATCTATCTATCTATCTATCTATCTATCTATCTATCTATCTATCTATCNTATATCTATCTATCTATCTATCTATCTATCTATCTATCTATCTATCTATCTATCTATCTATCTATCTATCTATCTATCTATCTATCTAGACAAAATACAGGATGGGTATATCATTGTATTCTCCTCTGTAAACTTTACCATTGCCACTAAAATGATTATCTGATTCTAGATGATTTGCCTATATTGCTACTACCCAATTGGTTTGTTTTAGCTAAACAGCTGGGCTGAATTTCAAAACTTGTTGGAACTACTGGTATATATTTTTGGCATGCAATCCCAATATTCTTTACTCATCTCTCTCAGGAACACTCCCTCTATGACCATCATAATGATGAAGCAACATATTAAGACTTTTCTGGGGGGAATGAACTTTAGAGCCAGGTTAGCTATTATTATTGTGTGGTTTTATTTGAATATTGGACCCAAATTGCCACTTCTTTTCTTTTAAAAGACTGAGAAATAGCATTGAGGTCCTTACAGAAGTGAAAAACCAGAATCTTGAAGAACAAAGATTATGGAATTATTCTCTCAAAGAGGACAAAAAAAGGAAATGTATCTCAGTTGGTCACTACTTGCTATAACAACAAAATGAATATGAGCTATCTGAAGCTTCTGGTACATGAAATTTGTTTTCTCCAAGAACTGAAGATCATAGAAGTAATAGGAAAATGTAAGATTTGGAAACCCGCTGATAGGAACTGTCATATGTATGTAATGATTGCATTATCTTATTTATCTTATATTTTCTTTCTCTCAATACCTTTTCATATTTTGAAATTTGGCATGTTTTTATAAAGAAATTTCTCTTTGAATTCTACTTTGTTTGTACACATACCCGGCTATTGCTTATGTTTCTGGATGTTGGCCATGATAAGCATTTTACTTTCCATTTTCCTAGAACTGGCCTGTTAGAAAAAGTCCTGAGTACAGAAGGTAAGAACAGTGTAGGATACGTTAGGTTGTCCAGACTCCAGAGTGACTAGTAGAAGCGTATTGTAATTAATTCTTACTAGGGAATTCTTGGAAAAACGAGTCTGCTATGAAAGTTTTTAATGATACCCCTCATACAACTTATGACACCAGAAAACACAGACTAATCTGTATGATATTAATAAACGGGGATCTAATAAACTAGATAACAAAATAATGTATTTGTACAGACCTTGCAAACAATGTAGTTATTGCTAAAATGGGTTTGTTTAAACACATTTCATCAGACTAATTTTATTACATTGTTGATTTAATAGCTTCCTCAATAGACTGTGGAATATTGTCAGTGTAGATGTAGTATACTTTGATTTCAACAAACTACTTGACAAAATACCCCCATGACATTTTAATGGCCAAGCTAAATAAATATAGACTCAACAGCATGTCTCAGGTGGAGCAACAGCCAATTTGACAACTGTACTTAAACAATTCTCTTCTATTGTTCTTCATCAAACTGAGGATGGTTCACGTGGGATGGAATTAAATTTAGAGGTCACCTTGGAGAATGTATAAGCAAGCTGTTAAGAGACACTGAGACAAGGGATTATACAATCTGAAGCTATAAGGAAGCATGCATGACAAAGAAACTTAAAAGAAACACACCTTGATTTAATGCAAGATGCGACAGACAAAAACTAGGGACAGAGTAAAAGAGTATTTCAGAACTCAAAAACAAGATGGTGGTGCAATGGTGATGACCAGGGAACTAGTTCGGGAGCGTGGCAGACTTGGGTCGCTGCCAGTTCCAGGAACCCAGGTCACCATGCCACTACTGGTTCAGCCGAACTGGGCCAAATATGTAGGAACCCACCACTGCCTCAGACACTCTGAACCTTTCTGGATAATACTTTAATGCTTGAAGTAGATGCAGATAACAATTAGTATTATCAAGGAACTGGTGTGCTAATCTGAGAAAAGATTAGTGGAGCTAATTATATTTACTTTTTGAGAAAAACAAGCTTTGTAACAGTGCTTGAAGGATGTCATCCCAAAAGTCAAGACTTGTTTTCTATTCGTTCTTAAAGCAAAACACAACATTATAATTGTAACTTATAGAAAGTTGATTTCTGGTTGAATGTGAGGAAAAGATTTATAGTGTTATGAGTAGTTTGAATTGATTAAAAAAGAAATGGTCGGTGTATTTTACTAGTAAATGCACATAAGGCAATCTCAAAAAGTATGCAACCCCCTAACCATACTCATGGGCTCCGAATCCATTGGAGATGTCTGTTTTCCTCTCCGAATTCATAAAGACCTTATCTTAACTCTAAGTGCATTTTCTGCAAATGGGATTTTTCCATGTATTTTCACAGGAAATGTAGATAACACAAAAGGTTTCATGATGATATGTTATGGTGTTCAACCACATTTTCTGCAAGATTATCTACCTCTTGATGTTTAATTATTTACTCAATTTTTTACTAGCCTCCAATTGCTCCAAATACTCAGCAGCTGACCCAGCAAGATAATTTGATAATTTGATCAGGATTATTATGAAAGAAAGTCATTATTAGTGAAAGCTAAGCTGTTTCACTATTCCTTCCTTTAAAAGCAGGAGTTAATTAATTGTGTTTTTTTTAAAACAAAAATATGCAACATTTACATTTTGGTGCAAAACACAGATAATCATACGTTTATATTGCTCTACTTGTTTTACTTCATCATTTTCTGTTGCCGTGCACCTCTATGAAAAGGAATTGTTTTAAACATAATGAAAAAGAGTTCCAAGCCTAAAAATGGTGACATGCATAGTTAACAAGCTGTTGTGTTACATAGTAGGTATAAGAATAGTCATATCCCAACAGTTTGTAGGTGGATCATGAGAATTTATGTTCTTTAGAAGATCCCTTGATCAGTTCAAAAACTCCACAGAGGTTAAGCTTGTTCAGGAAAATCTTCATTTTTTCTGAGGCAACAAATTAAGCAAAATGGGACACAAGTGATACCTTATGTCTGTATAACCATAGGGCAGCTATTACAACTTTAGATCAAGCTGTGATCAAATAGTAGATCCAACGTTCAGTTGAAGACCAAGGGCTAAGTATAGCAGAATAATATACTGCTCAGTGGTTACATTACATTTCTTTTTTTAGGTCATCCAATCCCACTGAGAGCAATGCAGTAGTGCTGAATGATGTTTATCTGATGGAATAGAGCACACTGTTCAATCTGATATATGCAGAAAAGAAATCCATCTGAACATGAATATGAGTGCCCAAATATTAAGGATTTATATTGTGTGTTTGTTTGACATACCATTTGTTCCTGGTCTATATTTTGACTGACAAGATCTTTTAATACATCTTAAACATTAGATGTGTGTTTGTGTGTGTGTGTGTGTTGTATTCAACAGCAGTGATCTGCAGTTGTCTAATGAAAACAACAAAATGTTAAACCATCACCAACTATTTATTTTTATCAAAAACAAGATCCTTATTCATGTCTTTCCCAAATGTGCTTGCATGTTTTACTTTTTCTGCTAAAATTCCTCAAAAGAATTAAGGTATCCTCTTCTTGCTTTTCTTTTCATTTTCTTCTCCAAACCAATTTAGGGTAAATTGGGATACATCTTCCTGGAGTGTATTATGTTGATTGTTTATGCTGCTTGTTTCTTCCCCTCGGTACATCTGTCTTTTAATTCACTTGCTTTAATGCATTGTGGTAATGTTTTTAATTTGTACATTGTCCAGCATCACCACTGAGTTATTAGAAATCCAATAAACAAGCAAACAAATAAATCTCAGGCCAAAGATAAAACTAGCTTAAAAGCAACAGAATCCTGCCTTTATATACTTGCCAGTTTCATTGTCTCTAATATGACTTACCTTCATATTAGCATCTTTAAATCAGCTTATTTCTCCCCAAGAGATCCATGTTTACTTCAAAACGGAATTGTTCCATCTAAGACTATCCTGCTGGTAATCACCCCAACTATTTAAACATATTATTATTATGAAAGTATGTCATATTAGTGACAATGAAGCTGGCAAGTATATATAAATGCAGGATTCTGTTGCTTTTAAGCTAGCTTTAACTTATGGTTTGCTTTTTTATTGGATTTCTGAACTAATAGAAAAGACCCCTGCCATTTTGTTCAGGCCAAGAACATGCCAGCTATTTTTGGAGTGCTGAGGCCATGCCGCAAAAAGCAGCAATGAATTAATAATATTTCTATTACTGCTTTGCATTTTGTAACATGATCTGAAGTGCAGTCCAAAATAGAAAGTATCAAAAATCTATCTAGAGGAATCTTATCCTATTCACTCATTCTGCTTAGTATAAAGCTTTGAATTTGTGTACTGTAATGTTTTTTTTTTCTGTTCACTTGGCTTATTTATTTCAGAAACACATCAGTTATTGAAAAAAACAACATGGCACTGCTCAACATATGATACAATATGGAAGCAGATATATTTTCAGGCTATGGTTTAGACCGGTCTTTCTCAAACTTGGCAACTTTAAGATGTGTTAAGCACTGTTAGCACTGGCTGGGACATTCTGGGAGTTGAAGTCACACATTTTAAAGTTGCCATATTTGAAAAATATTGATGATGACCTAGTTTAGAGTACAGTTTTTAAAACTCTGTGCTCAATTTGCTGCCTTATATGAAATTTGTCAGTAAATTCTGACCTATGACCTGCATTAAGATTTGGAAACTTATAGAAATACTTACTGAAATTTTATTAATTTATGACAAATTTCATTTGGATGTTTTATTTTTTTAAAATCACATTCTTTTCTAAGACTAAGTACAGCTAGCAATATGCTTATACTTGTTCCAGATTTCTTTATTCTGTTGTTGTTGTTTTCTGTCAGTTATTCAACTCTGCCAGAGTTTGTATTAATTGCTATTATTTTGAAGTGAAAGTCATGTATCCAGGGGGTAATAATTTAACTGTTCCCTGCATTAGATCACTATTTTATATGGAAGAAAAATCTGGGTTGAAAGAGAACAATTCAGTAACGCAGCAAGTTACTAGGAAAATGGAAGAAAATGACTTTTTTGGCCAGTGCAAGACGATTCAGGCTTGCTGCTGATTTGAATTGGGAGAACAAATTAACTCCTAAGAAATCAATAGAGAAAGCTTGCAATCTGAAATGGATCTGCTGGGAATTGGATTTTGGTAAACTTTTTCATGGTCCCTTCTGATGAATACAAAAATAATAAGAAGTCAAGTAGCAAGTAGATTTCTTTTCCATATTTTGCATGGCGCTTCAGGCAACACAGCCATTTTTTAAATATTTTTAAAAAATTTTTAATTTAAAACAAATACAACATCCTTCTTTACATGCTATAGAAAGTGTATCAGTTGGTTACAAAAACACTTATGTGCATCTCTTCCACAGTCAACAAACATAATTCATATTAACTTAAGTATTTTAACTCAAATATTTATACATGCCACCATCATCATATCTCTATTTTCATTTGACTATAATTATTTAAGCATCCTTCATCATAAAATATACCAAAATTTAATATATAACCACATAACGGCCTTTCAATTACTATTTCTAAAATCCTCCACTAACATTAAATCCTTATGTCCTATTCTAGCTAAACATTCATAATATTTAATAACAAAGTTTTCTAATCTTCCTTTCCAAATCACTGTTTAAAGTTTACATCCAGTTTCCTGTTATACCCATAGCTATATGTATGTTGTTATTCTTATCCGTCCTTTATTTGACTATATCCTGTATCATAACATTTCCCCCTAATAATCAAAACTTTAATTGTATCTAACTTAGTTCTTTTTTTCTTTTTATTATTATTATTAACCTTTATGTATAATCCAAATGGATTGCTAATCTTCCTTACATGGGTACCATTCAATATTCATATCCAATTACACTCATCATAACACTACACAATGTATACA